TGTACGAAGATTGCATTGCTCACCCAGAGGATACACTATTTGGACAGAGTGTCACCATAGTGACCTCCCACAGAATGTGTATAATACTACTGCGCAAGTTGTGGTTCCAGGAAGCAGAGAAAATCCCAGAACTTAGTGTTGTGTCATTCAAAAGAACAGAACTGCTGAGTGAACAACGTGAAGGGAAGGGAATCACGCACTCATTCGTTCGAAAATGCTGTCAAGCCATAAGTTTCTCCGTGTTAACAGCTAATGTTGAGTCAAGCTACGTAACAACAAATGCACACATGCCCCCAGTACCCATCATCTGAACTGATTTAAAATACAGTAAAATTGTAATAATTACAAACGTATAAGATACATAGACATATTGTTCTCCACTTTGTGCCTCTTCAGCAAAAATGATCAGTTACTGTTTTTAAATTTAAATTTTTTAAATATCTTTTTATATATTAATATTTACAATTTTGTTCACCTTTATTATTATTGTCATCAGCACTTAAGCACAATTGAACTGTAGCCTACGTTTGTATCAAAACTTGTCTGCCTTGAGTGTTATTGTCTTTTGACTATGTTACCTGGAAAAGACTCAACCATTATCATTGAGGGGTGACCACACACACACACACACACACACACACACACACACACACACACACACACACACTCTACCAAACCCGTTCACGCCTTTCCCTCCTGTTAATTGGTATACTCCCCTGATTACCCTGTGCCCACACACCCATCCCCCATAGTTGTCAGAAAGAGAGTGTGACAGTGATTGACAAGATGAGTGACAACATTAGAAAAATATGTGTTGTATGGACATAGTTTAATTATATTTCAGATACAGCCGCAGTGTGCAACATTTGTAAAGCAAAGTTGTTGACAAAAGGTGGGGCCACAGCAAATCTTTCCCGGCATTTAGGAGACAAACATCCAACAGTTCAGCTGCAAGAGGTGAGACAAGACACAGACACAGACACAGACACTAGCAAAGCTCCAGCAAGCACAGTTCAAGCCACTGACGCCACCTCTACACCAGCCAGTGCAACCTTGACTGCTCCAGCCAGTAAGACACAGGTGAGAGCAAAAGGAAACACAAGTCAGACTCACCCATTTTGTGTTGAGGCCAATTAACCCACTCAGATAGGAGGCCTTGGATGGGATGCTGGCCAAAATGATTGCAGGGGATTTTCAGCTATTTTCCATTGTGGAAGACCCGGGATTCCGCCACTTCCCAAAGGAACTCAACCCGCACTACACTTTACCAAGCTGAAAAACTCATATACTATCATCCTTAACCCTTTGATGCGCAACATGGGTCAAAAAAGACCCGGCTGAGTTTAAATTTTATATATCTTCTCAAAAAATTAATTCCATCAGTCGGTACTCAAGGAATTCCTCAATTAACTTGTTTTTGACGACCCTACATCTTTATGTTAATTTTTATTTTTTTACTTTTAGATTAAAAACCGTTTTTGTATCACTACCCCTCTAATGCACAACATGGGTCTAAAATGACCCGTATCCATTTTCAATGTTATTTCATGTATGGCTGAGTGTTTCTATGGTATATCTTTGACATAAATTAATTTTATCATTTACTATTCCAAGTATGCAGTAAAGATCTTGTTTTAGTTGAGCACAAATAATCATTTTTATTTTTCCTTTCTTACGTTATGAGGAAGCACAGATTTTGTATTTCTACATCAAGTTTACATACATGGGTCAGAAACGACCCACATACAGTGACTGTAGCATTTAGCATGAAAAGACCATCTAATACATGTAAGTTTGGTTTTTCAATTGTTCTGACATTATCTTAGAAATTATTGGATGACAATTGTGAAACATAATTGTACATAGATTTGATTTGATTAGGTTTAGGTTACCTTGAGAGTGAGGACATTACATGTTGAAAAGTTACACAGTTACAGGTAAAACAGCTAGCGTTATTTCAGCTAGCTATAATCAGACGCATGTGTATGTGACAAAATGACAAATAAACATGTTGCTGATACAAAATCTCCGCCAGCAAACCTTATGGAGCTGTGGACAAACTTTAGAAATTTATTACACAGAACATAAATACCCCCCCCCCCCCCCCCCCCCCGCTTGTGATGTTGACATGTAGTTATTGAAAGACTGGTTTTTGCTCAAGTCCTCTTTTTTCTGTACAGCTCTGTTTTTAAAAGTTATTAGGGGGTTCATGTTTTCTATGATTGACACCTGCCATAGACTGTATATAGAATGGACAGAGTCTGCCTCCTCGCTGGGTGAAGCCACTCCGAGAACAGCACCCTCTGTTGATGGGCTGCAGTATAGGTCGTAAATCCTGCCTCCGCCAGCAAAGATTATGGAGCTGTGGACAAACTTAAAAATTTTATTAAACAGAACATAAATTTTTCTCCTCCCTGCTTGCGATGTTGACATGTAGTTACTGTCAGACTGGTTTGTGCTCAAGTCCTCTTTTTTTCTGTGAAGCTCCATTTTTAAAAGTTATTAGGGGGTTCATGTTTGCTATGATTGACACCTGATACAGCCTATGGGCGTTCAGGGATTGCGTAGCTCTCCCGGGGGATATGCTGTTTGAGCCGAGTGTCATCACAGCGACTCTCTTCAACCGTGCGGCCAAATGCGCGCATTGCTACTGCGCAGCGCTGGTTTCAGGAAATGAAGAAAAATCCTGGAAATTTCGAGAGCTATTTGGCTTCAAATCTGTATACAGGCAGTAGGCGGAACGAAGTTGTCCATAGTATATACAGTCTATGGATACAGCCTATGGGCGTTCAGGGATTGCGTAGCTCTCCCGGGGGGATACGCTGTTAGAGGCGAGCGTCATCACAGCGACTCTCAGCGACTCCGCAGCCGAATGCACGCATCGCAACTGCGCAGCTCTTGTTTCAGAAATGTAGAAAAGTCCCGGAAATACCGAGAGCTTTTTGGCTCCAAACCCGTATACAGGCGGTAGGCGGAACCAAGTTGTCCATGGTATATACAGTCTATGGTTTGGCCCCACTCACTGCTAATTTCATTACTTGAAACAAATTATTATTATAGTGTTAGGTAATTCAATATTAAATCACACTTGGATGAATGGGTCTTTTTGACCCATGTGTGTAAACTTGATGTAAAAATATAGAAACTATATTATTTCATAAAGTATGAAAAGAAAAATAGAAATAATGATCAGTGGTGATCAAAAACAAGATATTTAAAGAATACTTGGAATATTCAATCAGAAAATAAACTTATTTCAAAAGATAGAACAAAGAAAAACTCAGCCAGCATGAAATACCATTGGAAATGAATGCGGGTCTTTTTAGACCCATGTTGCGCATTAGAGGGGGTGTGGATATGTTGCGCATCAAAGGGTTAAGGAGACAGGAGAACACTGGACAGTCAAAGAAAGGGTGAAAAGAACACAGGCTGTGTTGTTAGAGTGTTGTTAAGCAACTTGTTAGAATTGCAAGGGAGTGGGACATTGCAGATAGGATGGCTGCCTGTTTATCTGACAATGCTTCCAATGTGGTGAAAGCAATTCAGATCACAGGAACCTACCCCAGATGGAGCAGCTGCACAACCACAATGTTCCAGCCAGGGTAGTGGTGTTTGGCAGGAATTTGATAAGCAGGTCGCTGGGCTTGTCACCAGCACTTGGAATCCACTGGCAGATTCAATACTGGAGGTCTGTGCTTCAATGGAGGAGCCACTTATCCCAAGATCCTCAAACCCCTTCATATGGTGGCAAAGTGGAGGTGTGGTCTTATGAGACTTTTTAAGCTCACAAAGAAGAGACACTGGGCTCTATTTTTGTGCCTTGCCGGAGACGTGCCGCAGGCGCAGCGTGAATCAGGTCCGCTGCGCCGACAAGGCGTTCCCAAGCACAATTTGGAATTTTGGTGAGCGGCGCAGCCCGGCGTAAGTATCCCCCCTCCCTAACTCAGCTCCTCCCAACAGCGTAAGTCGTTGCGAGGGAGGAGAGAGGGCGTAGAGTGGATTTAAACACAGCCGAGACCTGTTTTCACCAATCACATCAGCTCCTCTCCTTGCCTTTAAATCCACGACCGGCGAGGCGTATTACTATTTTCGTGAAGTAGTCAGAGAGATCAAGAGATGTCTGAAGACAGTAATGCCACACGATGGCGACAGAAGGCAGCCCCTCAACAAGTGTCACTGTAAGTGCTGCATTGGGCGTCCTCCACACTCAGCACAGATGGATTTGGTGTGTGTTATGTTGGACCCAGTGGTAAGAAAAACACCCTTTTCCACTAATTAAGACACTCACATAAAGTCGCATATATTCAAACCTCACATGACAAAGGTGGGTTGTGCGCACAGATCACAACATAAACTCCAAAAATGGCATGAAAATCGGAACCATCTGTGCGTAAATGACGCATCGCACTCCGTGGCCTGGCTCTTTCTTTTATAGATGTTGGCATATAAAATAAATTTGACTCACAAAACTGAATATTATAATATCCGTATGTCGGCTTAAAGTAGATAACTCATCTGAGCACTGAAACAAGTCATCTGTTCAGCCGCCACTGCAGCAGGACGGGGAGAAGATACAGAGACATATCCAGGTCGAGCTGCGCGAGAAATAAGAGGAAGAGGAAGAAAGAAAAGGAGGGAGACGAATTACATATCTTGTTAACTTCATCATGTGTGTTTATTTACTAAATATTTAATTTAATTTAATGCGGTTTCAGCTGTGTTGATTCGGTCAGGTTGTGTGTCCAAACGCGTGCCAAACGCGCTCATCAGATCAGATATAGATCAGAATATACCTATATAGATCTAAATGTATGTGCTGACTCAGATTAATAGTTGTGATTATTTATTGCACTGAAATGTGCCTGACACTGTGGAAACCTGCCGGGGGGCATGTGTGACGTATGCTGATACGCCGCCCATCTACCAAAATACCACTAGACCAGCTGCTTTCCGCCTGCGCTGAAAGCTGACCAGGTTTGAATCAGCGAGCTTTCAGCGCA